ACAGGACCGTGGAGTATCGTCTAATCAATGCTGGATTTCTGAAGGTGATACCAGTATTGGGGCTTGAAATGATAATGAATCTGACAATGATATGTCTACTGTTGATAACTGTCATCACACAGCCCATTACAGAACTAAACATTTTTGGTTGTACCAATTGCTACCAAAAAATGGAACGAGTAGAACATTTCACAGCTGGAAAATAAATATTCCCTCCTCTCTGTTGGACAAACATGGTGGTAAACATATCAACCTGGTCCAATTAGTGCTTGGGCTGTAGAGTAAACTAATGAATCCAAGGCAGACAACTGACCAGACACGCCTGACTGATCTTGTTGTTGGCTTCACTCAGCTGTTCTTGCACTTCAGACTTATTCTGGACAATGTGGTTAAGCCTCTTGTTCAGCTCCTCTATTTGATTCAGCAGCGTTTTCTGTGTCTAGATACACAGAATACATGATAAAGGTGTAAATATAGAAGGAGATGAATGTAGCAGTACAGCCACTGTTTGATTTCCCTTACACATGTTTAAACTGACCTCTGTAGAAGTCTGGAGATGCTGCATTGCCTTATTTCTCTCCTCTTCTTGTATCTTTGCTCTTGTCTCTGCCTCTCTCAGAGCTTCTCTCAGTTTGCACAGCTCCGGGTTAACCTTCTGCTTATCGGGAATGGAAGCCATTTTTTACAAGCAATGTTCGGCAAACCGAAATACAAATGAATACATTATTTAGAACATAAATGTATTTTCATGATACAATACACACCTGTTTGTTAGAGTCATCTTGATCCACTGGTAATGTTCGGCCGGAGCCAGGAGCTCTTTCGGTTGGTTGGTCATTGTTCAGAGTAGATCTCATTTGCAACAGGTCCTTCTCCAGCTTTAGGATCCTTGTGATAGAATTTTAATTGAGGAATGTCTGTCTTTTCACATTCACATTTTCCTTTATATGTCTTTTGCTGCACTTACTTTTCATGGAGCATTCCACGCTGTTGGTTCTTTTCAAACCGGGGTAACTCAGCTGCCTCCTTCTCCTGCTCGAGAGTGCTCATCACGTCTGATAGCTGCTGTGTGACACATTAGTAGATTTAAGAGGATGCTGTGTGCAACTGAAACACAACCAAAAAACCTATTCGGAGCAGGAAATAAACCCAAAATGACCACATAAGGAGAACGATAAATGCAAAACGTACAAATCAAAAATCATACATTTTAACATGTAAAACTTTCTCTAAAATCGACTCACTTTATGTTTCATGTCAAGCAGGTGTGCTGCAGTTATGTTGTAGCTCAGCTGTGTGTCTCTGGTCTTCAGCCTGTCCAGATGAGTGTCTATTCGTTCATGAGCGCCCTGGAGCCATTGCACTACTTCAGCCTGTCTAAAGCTACTTTCCCCTCGGGCAGCTCTTAATTCAGCCCCCGGTGGAGTAAAGGATCGTGGACTCTCAGGAGCCAGATGGGACAACGATTGCCACCTCCTCAGACCTGGCTCATTCGATCTGAAGCCACCAGCGCTGCTGGATGTGCAGAAAGACAAACATCAGCCAGCATATACTTAAAAATACATCTTACTATGTCTCTGTTGATTAAAAATGACATAAATTTAAACTCACCTTGTGTTCACTTTGGACATAAACCCTGATCCAGAGACACTTGCCATACCACACCATGCTGATGTCTGAAAAGAAAATGACACATTTTTAAATTGAAACTCTTTGATTAACCAAAAAAATAAACAGTATCTGGATTTTACCTGGGCCGCAAAGCGAGATTTGGCGTCCCACATGTCGAGGTCTGTGAAAGAGAATGGACTCGAACTTCTGCATGAAGGACTAAACATCCTGCAATGTCTTCATAGATCCCAGCTATCACTTCCCTCTGTATGGGAGAGGCTGCAGTCCTCATCTCCCTACACGTCTGCTCATGTGTCCTGGATAGATTTTCGCACAAAGGTGGCAGCTGGAGGTCTGCAGCTATTCTTGGATCATGTGTCTTGATATTTCCACTGCTTGCTTGATGGTCAACAACTAGTTTTAACACTGCAGGGTCATTAGAAAATAGGATCTAGAAATGTAATGGTTTATTCCTGATTTGTTTATTGTACCGTTCTGGTACGCCTGGTAAAAATATATCACAGTGAGAGATAAGAACAAATATACAAGACAAGACCAAAACAGATTTCTGCACACTGCACGAAATGAGGCTTTCTCTCACGGTTACCTGCTGCAGAGAACCTCTCCTGTCCACTGACACTGCAAACCTCCTCTGCCCGCTTGTCAGCTTTGATTGCAAGCTTTTCATCGAACAGCCCTTGAACTGAGTATCCATGGTAACCTCTGTACACAAGGCACAGTTAGGTGAGTGTGTCATGTACAACACTCCGGGGAGAGTCTCCACATGATCTCACTCAGCCTGTTTGTTGACACGAGTTGTTAAGAACCTCTCCCCAACACTGATGATATACACATAGTTTTCCTCTGAATAATTACTTGAGACGGTAAATGTGTCAGGATTGATCTGGATTGCCTTAAGCACAGAGAAAGGAAGAAGTACTTGATGTTCTTAGATAGGTGGTTTTTACTGGATTTTACGCTAGCTCTAGGGATAAGCAATTTAATTAATTACGTTTATGCAGCCTATATCCCACTGATAAGCAGTGGCAATGCTTTATGAATAGTCCCTGATCTTAATCATTTTTTTGTGTTTTTTTTTGCCTTAGACAGCAATCAAATATACTAACTGTTCTGTTTCTTGAAAAGAAAAAAAAATTGTATCCTCTACCTCTAATATTAAATACAAATACCAGCCATGGTAATAAAGGTGATATATCTTTAAACACTAAAGGGGAAAGCAAAAGTCAAATGTGATATAAGAAAAAAAAAAAATCAACAACCACAAAAATGAAAAAAGCTGAGATAAAAAGAAATGTAGGTAAGGACAGAACGAAAACTACAAAAACATCAGAAGGTGGGACATGCTGAAAAAAAATCAATTATTATCAATAACACCTACTGCTAAGGAAGGAACAAAGATTATTATGTTTAATATAACTTCAGTAAAGTCAGTTTGTGGATGCAAAACACTGTAACATTAGTTTTTGTCTGTTACCTCAATGCAGCAGATTTGGTCTGATTATTGTCATTTATTTATTTGGATTGTTGTGTTACTGAGCTTTAGGGGTGGACTTGTTCTCACCAGCACCTGCATCTCTTTTCCTGGATAATTAAAAGTGTTGTTCACCAAAATTACTACTAGCTAGATCTATTATTAAATGTTCAAATCAGCATAAACAGCCTATAAGATATACATACTTCTCACTCCAGCTAGTACCTAAAAATTGGCAAACCTGTTCTTGCTCAGTGATTCTCGGACCTTTGTGTCACAAGGCAGACATATGATTACATGATTACATATGATTATAGCTGTAAATCATCATAAATCAGACTAATTTTAAGGCAAGCTCTTTGACAACCATTTGTTTTGTGTTTCTGCACTCACTGTAATATGAATGTGGAACATTGGCTGAGCGTAGAAGAAAATTGGATGGCCTTACTTAACCTACAACACAGTGTCTCACACTTTACTTATTTATGACTTCAGACTCGTGAGTTATAACTTTAAAATGTCGCAAATATCAAGTTAAAATCCAAAGATTTGCAGACTTGGCTAAGCCCCTAATGTTTCAAAACTCCTAACAAGGCCTCTGCAGATCAGTGTGAAATATTGCATACTACTGACTAAATCCAACATCGTTTCTCTTCACAAGCAAGTCAGACCATTATTCAGCAACAGTGCTTTGTCTTTAAAAAAATATTGCACATACTAATGAAGGCTCAAATTATCACGAGCATCATAACTGATTCAGAACAACTGATTACTCACAGTACAACCATGGATACGCCCTGAGGCCACAGTAGACCTTACATTATTAGAAAAGAAGAACAAGGACGTAGAGTTACTTCTAATTCACATACCGTACAGGCATGCATTGGTTGTTAGTACAGCTACATTCAGGTTTAGGAAAGAAAATATGAGCAGTATTTATTGTTCTAGAGTTTAATCTTAAAGTACTTAAACTAAAAGCAATTAAAAGTAGCAATAAAGGATTATTGGCCTATCTATATAATGCTGGTAATATGGTCAGCAGGGCAGTGGATAGACGGCACAACAACATTAACCTTTTAAGACCTGGCATCCACATGCATGGACATCCCATTTTGGGTTATATTACCACAATAGTTTTAATGAATTAATTAAGTAATTCATTTATCTATTATTATTTTATCATTTTATTATTATTTATTATTGTTATTTAATGTTGTTGTTTATTTTTACATGTTTTTTGTATATTTTTATAGATGTAAAAAATATGTATTTCTATTTTCTTTATTCTTTTGTTCCTTAGGAATAACAAAAATGCATATCAAACAAGAGATTGGGTCTTAAGAAATACACCAAATATTACGCAGAATTCAAAGACGGGTCTTACAGTAACTTGCATGGGTATCGGCATGCAATTAAATTGAAGGAAATGGAAAAGACTTGCAAAGAAAGTCACAAAAGTACACACTCTGACCTCGAGATTGGCTTCAGTGGAACAGAAATAAATAGCGTAATTTAGCAGAGACTAAAGGACAGGTAATGCTTTTGTAAATGTATGTATATATTCTTATTTGTCTTTTTATACTTTTACTGTTATACTTTTGCACCACTGGAGTTGTCTTTTAATTTCGTTGTGCGTTGTGTATGATGACAATAAAAGTATTCTATTCTATTCTATTCTATTCTATTCTATTCTATTCTATTCTATTCTATTCTATTCTATTCTAATCAAAAGCAAAGGGACGAATGTTGTAAATGCTTGAAGTCGTGACATACGTGCCAACCAGTAGGTGGCGGTAATGCCCCTTTAAAGTGGGTTTACCACCTGCCCATGACTCTGAGCCACGAAGAAGAAAGAAACCGGAACTGGTAATCCAGAAGCAGAGGCAGACGGTTCAAAAAGCTAAAGAGCTAGCAGTTAAAGAGAAGAGCAATTTTCCTCTCAGCACTTGACATTACAGTTCTTTTACTAGTGTTCTTCAAGAGTTCTACATCACATTATTTTCGAAAGGTACAGCTTTTTTCCCATTTACTTTTTCTCATTTAAAGCGTTGGCGTCTTAAAATTAATGCCTGATAGTAACTTAGCTTGACAGCAGGCCGAGGCTAACGCTAGGCAGTGTTAGCTAAGGTTAACACCGAACCGTTTGTTTTTCTGTCCTCCTGCTGTCAGAAAGTTTGTGGTTGCTACTAATCTTCTTTAACAAGCAAAGTCATATACAACTGTGCTCTTTGACATTGTGCAGACATGGCCGCGGATTGGTTGGGTAGTTTGGTGTCTATTAACTGTGGGCCAACGCTGGGAGTCTATCAAGGAGAAGTCTCATCTGTGGATCAGTCCAGTCAGACCATCTCCTTAAGACAGCCTTTCCATAACGGAGTCAAATGCCCCGTTCCTGAGGTTACATTCAGGTAAGTTTTGTGAAGCCGGATTATCGGGATGCTCCTCATGAACAGTCTACTATGCGTGAAAAACGCTCTGGCTTGTTTGTATTACTTTGAACCAATCGCAGTCGCGCAGCGTCACTGTCACATTAAAATAATGATGGGTGAAAATGTGTTGGTGGAACATGTGCACAAAGGGACGTGAGCTCTTGCACTAAATTAGTTGATATAAAAAAAGACCACTGCAAAACTTTTTCATTTGTGGTATGTTACTGCTTTTAGGCTTCTGTTGTTGTTGTCGTCGTATTGAAGGATATTTTGAAAATTGTAACATGTAGACAGGGAATGGGTAGAAGAAAGTCACATGAACTGCCTGGCCAATGGTAGGCTTAGACCTGTGCTCAGCATCTAATGACTCAGATTACATTCAGGTAAAAACTTTTCAGAGTCGAGTTTGATGATTTTTATGCTGACGACACACAGGTGTAGATCCTCTGAGCTAGCTATGCAGAGTTCTCTTAATGACTGCCTTTCTGATGTTAAAAAAATTATGTTGAATGGCTTCCTTCAGCTGGCAAAACAGAGATTCTAATTATTTGGTCACAGCATGTGGCAAAACAGATTCTGACATAAGCTGGTTCCCTTTTAAAATCATGTCAAGCCTGTTGTAAAGACTCTTCATGTGTGGGTTGTTAATGACCGAAGATTAGAGGAGCACACCACAAGGGTCGTGCAATCATGTTGTTTCAGGAAAATCTCAAAAATACAATCTATTTAAATTTCTTAAAGACACAGACCATTTCACAAACTTTAAAATTACTGCAACAGCCTTTTCACCTGCCTGAACCAGACAGCAACTGATCTTAACTGTACTAAACTCAGCTGCAGCACTTTTATCCAGAAAACATGGATCACGTCACTCGTGTTTTAACTTCTATATACTGGCTACTTGTATGTTTTAGGATCAATGTTAGGATTTTAATGATTATTTTTAGAGCCTTGAATGGCCCTCCCTCCCAGCTATACCTCTGACCTCTTAGTACCATATGTAGCAGCCTGTACTTTTAAATACAGATAGAGGTCTGTTGTCTGTTCCAAGGGCCAAGCTGAAAACTGAAGGCGACACTGTTTGCAGTGAGGACAGTGATCTTTTTTAAGTCCCTTCTGCAAACATGCTTTATTTTATTTTACTTTTTTCAGCAATAGTTTTACCTTGTTAAGCACTGTGTTGGTTTTTATGCACCGTGTTGTGTTTATCTCATTTTTAAAGTTAGAAGATTTTGTGACATGTTTGTTTTATTTTGCCGTCTTGTGAGGTACTTTGCAACTTGAATTTTTAGAAGTGCTCTATTAAAAAAGATTATTATTATTATTATTATTATTATTATTATTATTATTATTATACACAGCAACTGTTCGTTTTTGTTATTTAAAGTCATTTTAATTTTTTTTTCTGCAGTGCCATTGACATAAAGGAACTAAAGATTCTAGATTTCAGAACTGGCAACGGAAGGACTAACTCTACTGCATCTACAAAGCTAGGCAGCGCACCAGTTGCTGTCCCAAAGGGCGACCCCAGATCTGTGGAAAAACTAAACTCTCCACAGCACTGCTCTAAAAGTTATGGAGAACGTCATTTGGATGTACCTGGCCAGCCCAAAGCATTTCGTCGAAGACATAACTCCTGTAAGTTGAATGGTATTTCTAAAAGAAATAAGGAGGCACAATATTACTGTTTGCTGTGGCATACCGATAAACAATGTTTTTATTGTCACATCAGGGTCATCTAGTAGTAAAGGGCCAAACCAAGTGACGCCGAAGAAGAACGGGGTGAAGAATGGTCAGATGAAGCACAGAGATGATGAGTGTTTTGGAGATGGCATAGATGACGGCCTGGATACAGACTTTGATTTTGAGGGAAACCTTGCTCTTTTTGACAAAGCAGCTGTTTTTTCAGAAATTGACATATCAGAGCGCCGCAATGGTGCAAGGTCACGGGGGACTCCTCAAGAGCAGACGCCCTCACGCTACCGTCATGATGAAAACATCCTGGAGGCCAAACCTATTGTGTACAGACAGATTACTGTGCCACAGCCTGGGGCCAAAGAATACTGCACTGGTGAGTATTGCATTGTAATGAATGGATAAAACTGTAGTGTGGGCCAGTGAACTAAACGAGAGTGGTTTGTTTTTGATTTCTTGTACCCCATATAGACTCTGGACTTGTTGTTCCGAGTATTTCCTATGAACTGCACAAGCGTCTGTTGTCTGTTGCTGAGCGTCACGGTCTCTCACTGGAGCGAAGACTTGAGATGACTGGAGTGTGTGCCAGTCAGATGGCACTTACATTGCTCGGAGGGCCCAACAGGTAAACATGTAGTGATGGTTGTAAGCACAAACATCAGATTTCAATTAACTTTCCCAAAGTGACAGTTAAGTGAAGCTGAGATATATTCCATCATTTTCCAAATTGATTAACTTCAGCCACTTTTTACTTGAAGAGCACAAAATGTAACTTTGTTTCAATCATATTTCTACCAGATTCACTCCAAAAAATTTACACCAGCGTCCCACAGTGGCGCTGCTGTGTGGCCCTCACGTTCAGGGAGCTCAGGGCATCAGCTGCGGTCGTCACCTGGCCAATCATGAAGTCGAGGTCATCTTATTCCTGCCAAATTTTGTCAAGATGCTCGACTCTGTGACCAGTGAGCTCACACTCTTTAACAAGACTGGTGGCAAACAGGTGTCCAGTATCAAAGGTGGGTGTGCTTTGTGATTTTACTTATTTAAACTTTTTGTGTTTTGTGGCTTGTGCATATTTTGCAGTTGGTTACTGAAAACCTTTATTTTTTTTTCTTGTTTTTTTTTTTTTGTCTCTGACTCACCAGACCTCCCAGACACCCCAGTGGATCTAATCATTAACTGTCTGGACTGCCACGAGAACACCTTCCTCATGGATCAGCCTTGGTACCGGGCAGCTGCTGACTGGGCTAATCAGAACAGAGCACCAGTGCTCAGCTTAGACCCTCCTGTTAGTGGACAGGGGCAGGCAGTCGAGGCCAAGTGGTCCCTCTCACTTTGCCTCCCGCTGCCCCTGGCTGAGGGGGCCGGCAGAGTTTACTTGTGTGACATAGGTGTTCCTCGCCAGGTGTTCCAGGAAGTGGGAATCAAATACCATTCTCCTTTTGGCTGCAAATTTGTCATCCCCCTGCACTCTGCATAGAGGGTCTAATGGTCAACATGGCAGAATCTTTCACCTTTCTTGACCTTTTGGGTTTTGATGCCTTATATTCCGCAGCTTCAGCTGTTTTCAGTTTCTAACTCAGCATCTGAATGGGACTTTTCCTTCATACTGCAGGACCACTGTTTTGGTAAATTAGTTCTACAAGGATTAAGTGCATATTGATGGAGAAGATCTGAATTCTTCATTGAAAGACAGATGTCTTGATCATTGGAGGCAATAGCAGATAGTGTAGATACGTAAAAATTAGTTATTCAAAAGTACAACTGAAGTGTCAAAGATTATGTGACGTAACATTCAGTTTTAAATTGAGTAGGACAATCTCTGACTTGCAACAGAAAAGTTCTCAAACTCATTTTAATCTAACTGCGTTCCAAACCATCTGGTGAATAAACAGATCCACCATGTAATACAGGCACTTGCAGAAATTAAGATCTGACAGCAGAAATACACTTTACACTGGTGTTGCCATTGCTAATGGCTCTGTTTATAGTCTGATGTACTTTGCAGCACTTAGTTACTGTTGTCTGAAGTTTTTTTGGGGAAAAAAAATCATCTAAGCAAATGTGAAGAATTTGTCATTTATACATGTAATATGTTTTCCAGTGATACCAGTGTTGAATGGGGCAGCTACTGGATAGAACTCCAGACAACAGTTTTGTTTGTCCGTGGTAAATTAGGCTGTGATGATAAGGGCTCTGATAATATGACACAGCATGCAAAACCTACTGCAATCTTATCTTTCAGTGAAAAGTTGGTGGAAAATAAGTTTGCTTACTTAGTTTTGATTTAGTTACACCAGATGAAGGGTTACGCCAGTGTGTTTGAACGTTTGTCTACAGCCTGTTTAAAATATTTGGCCTCATTGAACGCAGGTTGTAAATGTTTTTTTTTTTACATTTATTTCTTCTGTAGTTCCTTATAGATATTGTTTTCCATTCATTTCTGTACAACCTAAAACCTTTTTTTTTGGCATACTCTAAAGCTGCGGTATTGTGTAATGTCTCACAGGAACATCAAGTCTGTTAGTTTTTGTCAGTGTTGCATTATTGTTGCTTGATGATGCAGCTTTAGCACAGACCGAGTTCAAAAGCGTGCGTTCCATTACAGTAACAAGAACTGAGGCAGACTTGATGAGAAATTGATTGCACAACTAGGGCATGGTTCGCAGTAAATGTGTTTTGTGTTGTACAGAAGTTAATAGAAACCAGTGAATGCCTGGAACAGGAGACAAAATGCAACCAGAAGTGAGTTAAAATATTAGTGATACATGAGCTTAAAACCACGGATGTGACCCTTTTAAGATTCAAAGTGAAATTTAACCTCGTGGGGAAAAAAAAAATCCCAACCTAACCCTAACCTTTTTTTTTCCCTCCTTTTTTTTCTTTTAAAATGAAAGTCATAAGCTGAGAGAAGTAGGGTGAGGTTTCTTTGTGTGGGATTCAGACATGTTGCTTTGTGCTAATCTCCACACAAGATGCAACGTCCTGCACTGTGTACCTACCAATGATATTTGGTTGTCAAGAAAATGCTGAAAACCATTCTGACATTACAGTAGTATTCCTTTTCATGTGTTTTTTTTTTCCATGTTAAGCTGGTATTTAACAGTACAGCATAGACTGTGAAATGCAACCTAAGAAGAGCTGCTTATGTTGTGCTGCTGTTTAAAGAAGTTCTGCTTTAGGATCAAATTACTTCGAAAAATATCCACAACTGGGACCATTTTTTTATTTTTTTATTTTTTTTAAAGTTCAACGATGTGCATATTTGTCACCAACATGACCTTAATTTGGAGTTGAATTGTGGATTATTAAGTCAGCGTTGTCTAAACAAAAAGGCTAAATTCAAACAGTTCACTCCTGCAGAGATCACAAGCGAAAGCACTCTTTGTTCCATGTGTTCGGTCCACACGTTAACATCTAAGGACAACATTCAGTAAATTTGCTGTATTTTCTCTGTGCACAGTAATCGGCACAGGATCCATGCACTGATTCAGTGAAAATGACTTTCATGCACAATGGTTTTGTCCTTTCTCCAACATTCCTCTGGCCTGATGTGTAATGTCACATCTGTTGAGACAAGTCTGGCTTGGAAACATCAGCCAGTGTTACTGAATGTGAATAAAAGTGAGTTTTGTTCGTGTTTGGCCGCCAGGAGGCAATGAAATCAAATGTTCGGTTGCTCTTCCTTATTCTGCTGTAACGGCAGCTTTGTGTACTTAACGCTGTTTTCTCAGATAATGGCGTTATTACTTTAGAGAATGTGAACAGTCAGACAGATGTGACCTTTTGACAGGAAAGCACTTGCTCTGTTAATGCAGGTAATGCCTCTTGAGATGGATTGAATTAGTTTACATGTTCAGAGTTTTCTGCAAGCGGGTGTCAAAGCGTTGCAAGATTACTTCGCAGTTCAGAAATATGCCATTAAACAGTGAAAGACGTGCTACAGACAGGACAGCGTTTTATTTAGGAATCGAAATTCTCTGTCAGGGTTCTCGTGCAAAAATACTGTGCAGTCCTCACGTGTCATGTCTGCAGATTGAACCAATAACAATAAAAAAATAAACATTCACCACTGTTTCTCCTTTTTTGGACTGTCAGTAAACGTTTACCTGATTGATGATCATATTCTTTAACCAACTTAGCAGAAATGGATCCTTTGATCGCCTATTTTTAGCTGGACTGTCATTAACGCGCATGTGCAATGCGAAATCAAGGTGGGGCAAAAACTTGAATGTTTCGGAGCAGAGCAGCCCGGAGCACACTCAAATCAGTCGCTTTTAATAAGCCACTGCCAGTTATTTTTGTGGCTGAAGTTTGTTTCGTTTTCCATTTTAGACAGAACCACCGTCAGATCGAGACGTCAGGGAGCAAATCTGCAGCGAACTTCTTGTTTCATTGACAATAATGCTGACAGGAGACGAGCCAGCAGATCGTCTCGGCTGGTTTTGTTGAGCTGCTGTTGGACTTGAGAAGTTTCACCTGAGACATATATTTCACTTTTTCCTCATCAGGACTTGATGTTTTTCAGCCTCGACTGTCGGCTTTTCTATTCCGTGAATGGAAGTTTGTGTGCAGTCATTCAGATGAAAACAGACGTCGGGAAGTAGCTGGATCACCTGTTACCGCCTCAAATCGCTTGTTTTTACCTGCCAGCAGGTAAGATCTGAAGTCTGACACTGTGCCATGAAGTAAACCTTTCTAAGATGTAAGCTGTGGGCCAATCAGCGAGTGCAGTCTTTGTTGTTTTAACTGACAGCTCTGATGAAGATACCCTTTATCAGAATACACTGGGCTGTCAAGTATTTACTGATCGATCCTGACTTAAATTCTTCACGTGATCGCATCTCAGTGATTTCTACTCACAAGAAAACTAACACAGACTTTATAGATTGAGTGATTTGTAGACACACGAGGCCTTCCTTCTTCAAGTTTCTGCCACTGCGTGTGACTTCCTGGGCTGAAGAGGCTGCATGATGCAGCTTCTTCACACTGTTGTGTCAGAACATGTCAGATAAAGGTACTGATAATGAAGATCATTTACTTGGTAAGAGTTCATCACAGCTGTCAGGGAGCTTGAGTATATCAGTATTTAAAGCTGCTGCTGATGGCTTTATAAGGCTAGTTGCTCTCACAAAAATGTGCACAGTTGCTGCAGAGTGCTGTTATTAAATGGTAATGCCTCTCCTTATTTAGTGTGTTGTTCTCAGGACACATTTTCAAATTTGCAAAAGCACTGAAAGCAAACAGCAAACAAAAGTTCACTAAAGCAGTCAGAGAGGAACCCAGGAACCTCCTGGGTCTGTTTCAGGGTGATGCCCCTCTGGGTGAAACAGGACTTCCCTCCTTTTTTTTGAAAAAGCTGCACAACCATAGAGATTTTCCCACCAAGGATTCTTCTTTTAGAGTGTGACAAAACTGTAAAGAAAGCTGCTGAAACGACACGAAGAGTGCTTGTGAAACCACAGCAAAGCATAGCAGCTCCTCTGTAATGTGTCATGCACGGCTGCATGAGCAGAGCAGCTTTGCACCGCATAGTGTGCATAGCACTGCTGCAAGGAAGTGTCCGTCTGCTGCTCACACACAGCAGCTTTGACTTATATGGTGTTATTTCTTTGCATGTTTACTTGGTAAAATGAGCATCACCAAAAGTGCCATGAGTGTGTGAAGAGGCTCTGTGTGTCATTTGAACTTTGGATTGCAGTAAAATTCAAAGTTCACTGTGGTGGCTGGATGCCAGATTAAAGGGGATTGCCCTGACTAGCAATCATTGATTTTTCTCTTCCCGCTGCTCTCAAAACAACTTTGTTTCAGAGAGTGAAGCTTTGTGTTTGTTTATGATAAACAGGTGTTATTTTAGGTGCACCGTGTAATTTGTTTTCATGCCTGTATTACAGAGCCCCGCAGGAAAAAGTGTCAGTCATTAAAGTGATACAATGATAGCTTGTATTGCAGGGCCAACCACTGGACTCGTACTTCCTCTCTCAGATCCTGCAGACAGTTGTTTCAGTGAGCCGTGTCGCTGCACCAGAGTCCAGCTGTTGCCCTGGAGGCAGAGGTGATTTCCTTCTCTGAGGAAAACATCTGCAGGCTGTCGGGCCCAGCTGGGGGAACTGTTGGCATGTACGCCTTCTGCCTCTCTCAATTTTAGCCACAGTGTGTCTGTTTGTGTACCTATGAGATGAAAGCTCGGTGGATGTGGACAGAAATCAACATTTCCTTGTCTCTCCACTTGCTCTGCCGCCCTGCTGCTGGAATAGCGGTGATAACAGGGCAGCAGCATCAAAGCAGCGACAGAGTGTCCTGCGGCCTGAGGGTCAGACGAGACCCCCTGCTGCATGTGAAGAAGGGACAGGAGCACAGAAACACAGACATGATGCTCACTGGTGGAAGTAGTGCTCTGATTTATAGAAAAAAGAAAAAACACGCAAGTACCTGCAGTTCTTGATCAAATGTGCATTCCACCACCGAGGATAGCCACGTGAAGGTTGCTTTGTTGTTATTTAAAGTAACAAAATCATGCATGGTGGTGTTTTGGAGTCACTTGATTCTATCACTTTTGCAACACTGTGCTCTCACAGAGTTTGTCCGCAGGTAGACGAGGGAGTGGCAGATCCAAACAAGGCCAAGAAGATATTTCTGCATTCCTGTCCCGTCTTGCTTTGTGCCGTTCAGACTGCGACTGACTTGCATAAGACAAGAGTCAGCTGTTGATCAACAGGTTTGGTGTGAACAATAGTATTGTTATGGCTGACAAAAATATGCAGGACTATACAGTAGTAGCTATGAAAACTTTGAAGAGATGGGAGATGCCACTATTTATCAGTTACTTATTAATTTTGGACTAGATCGCGCCGTCTGTGCTCTTTCCTGACTCCATTTAGATTCATTGTGTCAGTGAGTGTGTTGGTTTCCTGTTGCTTTCAGGAGTTAGTTTCCGACATCACTTCTCTAACAGACAGTATCTCTCAATCGGTTGTACTAATTTGTTGCCTGCGTGCACACAGCCATGTCTCATTGGGTATTTGTGAGGTTTTGTTTGTTTGTGTTCAAAGTAGAGTTCGCAGGCTGATATCAGAGCAGCAAAAACAAGTTGACTATCAGAACTTACAGAATAAAATTCACATTTTCAGCTGAATCGCACCATTGCTGCCCTTAAAGCTGCTCGCTCACTGGGCAGATTGATGATGATGGACTTCTCAGCGAGACAGGGGTCAGCAGAAACTTGACCGACTCACAATGACAGTCCTTGTGTGCTTCCTGAAAAGAGCAAGCTGTGGTTCCATGTGGAGCTCTCTGGAAATGGCAGTGTGAGTCAATGACAGACTGGGTTCTATCCCGTTCACTCAGCTGCTGGTGGCCTGTTGCTGAGATGGGTTCAGTGTCCCAGAACAGATTAATTAAGAAGTGCTGTTGTGTGGCAGCCTTGACCGCGCTGATCCATTTCAGTCTTGGTGACATCTTTCAACAGCGATTCTGGACATATTCCGTTACAACCAATAAATTTTGATATTTTTCAGAATGTCACGAGTAAGATTTCCTGCTTCAAGGTATAACTCATACTGACATCGATGAAATGTCAGACGTGTTTGTAGCAGTGACAGCAGCATGACTGTGGGGATGCCATTTTTGGTTTTTATTCCATCACTTAGGTCAAGACTGAAATAGAGTTCTGAGAAAATTCCTTTGCACTAACTGACTGACTGAAATCTGCAGCCCACCTACATCGGAAGATGCTTTGTATCTTCCCTCATGTTGCTCTCCCAGATCAGCCACCTTCAGCTTCTGCTTGATGTGATTTCTCTCTACCTCTCTTCTGGTCTTCAGCAAGTGAAATCTTAATCAGATTGAGACCAGATGATCGACTTGGCCAGTCAAGGATGTTCCATCTCCTCACCTCTTTGTTGACTCGTCTGTATGTTTTGTATTAATGTCCAATGTCACCCAGTGAGTTCTGATGCATTTGGCTGAATCTGAGCTCACACAATCTCTCTGTATTCCTCTGCATTCATCCTGAGCCACGTATGGGCTCTTTGGTGCATTAAATAACATGGAAAGAAAACAAAACTGCTCAAGTAGCCAAGTGTCCAATTACTTTTAAACCCTTGCAGTTTGGGCACTATTTGTTGAAAGGAGATATGCCTTTCACTCAGCTCTCACATTAAAACAGACACTTGGCACTTTCATGTAACACCCATCATTCTATTTTAAATTAGACGTGATGAAGCTCAGAGCCTAAAGAAGAAAAAAATACCCTCGGTCTCGGCTGGATGTCATCAGCTGTTAGATGAATTGCCGTGAACTTTTATATATACTTCACAGCTTACAAACTGTGAATCTTACTGACTTTGGTGAACTCCTGACTTTACTTCTAGCACAACCAGCAGGTTTACATTTTTGGGTGAAATGTCTCAACACTGGTTGTTGGATAGATGGGTTTGCAGTTTGGTGCAGACACTCTGTGAAGTTTCGTCACAATTACAACATACCGATGTTAAGTAGGTATAATGTAAACCTTCTTCACAGCCAGAGTTTGGTTTGTTTGCATGCTAACCAGAAGGGCAGTTAGGGAGTACAGTCCTCTGCTGAGGCCTATTTACTATCTCACATTGCTAAAGAAAATGATCTTGATCAGGAGTTCTCAACTGGTGGGTCGCGGACCTGTTCTGGGTAGGTCGCGGACAGCTGGTCAAAATTAAATAATATATAATGTGCGTCTCAGGTTCGACTTATTTTTTATTTAAGCTCAGCACCTGCACCTAAACTGGTCTAAGTAGCCAAAAGCTGCCTGTGCGTCCCGCCACTTCCAGCCCATCAGAGCCTGCGTGCACCCAGAATTCTGCTGGCTGTCGAGGGGCAAGGTGTGTTGTCACGCTTTTATGAACTTAAATCAAAAATCGCCACATTCCTCTCTGAGACTAAGTCCCTGTATGCAGAACTGTTTGACAATGAAATGTGGCTGCACGAGAGCATCAGCTGCTGGAGCTGTCATGTGATCAGACGCTGAAAGAGAGATTTGGGTAGGTAAGCCTTTCCCACTTCTGGTGCAGCGATGTGATGGCTGAGTATCCATCCCTCGCCACTCTTGCAGTTAAAACAATCTTACCATTCAGCTCAACCTATTGGTGTGACAGTAGCTTGTCTACCTTGGTGCTGCTCAAGTCACAGCAGAGAAACAGGTTAGACACTGAGCATGATCTGAGAGCAGCTCTGTCTACTGTCACCCCAGACTCTGAAACTCTAATTAAGAGTAGAGCACGTGCCCAGCTGTCTAATTAACTTCAACAAATGACCTGATTAGGCCAAAACTTTATTTTCAAGTAGTTTTGATATTTATTTTAGCCACTTTTGTACATGCAGTTGTCATGGTCCTCCTTAGTTTCTTATTAATTTGTTCAAAATGGAGTGAAAACATGTTGTTTTGTGCCCTTATTTATTTTGTGCAGTTTTGTACACACAGTTGTCATGGTCCAGTTACTGTGCATGGTTATATGCTCTGAAATGCATGTTGCACAGGAAAATATATTGAATATTGAATTTAAAAAAAAACTGGGTCGCGACTTAATGACCATGGGAAAATGTGGGTCCCAGGGTGAGACCAGTTGAGAACCCCTGATCTAGATCAACACCAAAATGTATGAATGAATGAACAGATTCTTTGTTTGGCCATACCCCACCTCTTCACCAAGTTTCATGAAATTTAGTCTGGTAATTTTTGCATAATCTAACCATATAAACCAGACAAACGTCACTGAAAACAAACCAGCAATGAACTATGTATAGCTGAGGCTGATGGGAGCGTCATTTGTTTTGTGGGTATTTAGCCATCAGCCACAGCATTGGACTGAAAGAAGGTTTTGCTTGAAAGTCAAAAATTGAAGGCACCACGAACATAGGTACAAAATTACATGGAAACCCATACAATGGTTAGTTATGTCAGTCTGGATCTGGTGGGCTGACCAACAAACCAAAAGGGCCATCAGGGCCTCAGAGCTACGGCTCTAAGCATTGCTAGAAATATCAAATCTACATAAAATGTTCTTCTCTGCATTATTCTATTTTTTCTTGTGTAATCCTGCATAGTCTTAGACTTTCAGGACTCTCCTTGTTGGAACACAAACCCGTAACACTTTGGTGCATCTTCAGTGTAGTCTACAGTCTCACAGGACGGCTGTGGTCTTGTTTTTCTTTTTGACCCCCTACAGCATGTGAAATGTAACATGGAAGAGAAGAGCTGGGATGAGCAGAAATGGGGAACTCCTGCCTGTTTGGTGGGTGTGGGAAATGTGTCCGGATAATTTTGTCCTTCAATACAGAGGACAGCTGCAGTACTCTGTAGGGGACAACATCGGTCACATCCTCATCACACTGAGCGATGACAGTCCTCTGTGGTACATATGAGGGTTTTTAGTCTCACATTTGGTGTCTGTGAAAAGGTTGGTTGTTTATTTAAAATGCGTGTGACATAGAAAACAGAAGTTTTCAGTCTGAGATAGCTGCTCTAAAAAGGGTAAGAGTGGAGAATGTGTTGCATCTTTCATGTTTTTAAAGTGCCCCACCCTAATGTTGGAATATTCTAAACCTGGGATGTCGCATAGGAAGTTGATTGCACATGTCAAAGGATGTGACCTCATGTAAAGTGAGTTTGTCAGAGCCAGGATTTTCCCTGAGCTCTGACCGTTGAGCCCTGCCACCTCTCCCTGGGAACTGACAGAGGAAGAGAGGAAGTGGGGTTTTGGGGGTGAAGGGAGGGGAGATGTTAAGCATGACCTAATCCACGGGTCATCATTTAACGATGACGCCTCTGCTCGGATTTGTTGTGTATGTATCATGGAAACAGAGTCCCCGGGGTGACTCAGGCCTACGGTTACTGTCGCAGTGGCTGCTTTATTGACATAAAGAAACCCTGGGCTGGATGAGTCCCTCGGGCCTGGTCAGATCTCACCACAAGTTTGCATTCCAGCGTTGGAAGAGAGCTATCTTGACTCCTACAAGGCCCAGTCACTGGCGCTAAGATGGAGAACTAGTGTGCGGCTATTTTAGGTGGAAATGAAGCAGTTTTCCATCAGAAGTGCAAAGTACATCCAGTGTTCCTCCTTTTATTCATTGTATTATTCCAAAATTCATGTTTCTGACTTTGCAATTTGTGTAGTTGCTCTATCAAGACACTGAAAGTTTCTCTTTATACATGCAGTTGCTCTGCGTCATGGAAACCTTCTGCAGCAGTTGTGAAAGTGTGATAAAAAAAGACGACTTGTTATTTCTGCTTTTTGTATGAAGGAGTTATTTTTACTGACACTGTCTGCTCTCAGGCCACTCTAGTGCACTCTGATGATGGCTGATCTGTTTGCTGTGCACTTCTGAACAGTAAAAACCACTAATTCATTAACTTTCCAGAGAATTTGTTAGTTGTGATGTGAATGTTTCTGAAGCGGTGGCATCCTACTCACTTATTGTGTCTCTATTTATAGGTACTGTGCTGCATGTGTGTGTGTTTGCCAGCTCTAATGGTAGCAGCTAGAAAACCTCGCCTGTGAGAGGATCGAACCACCTCAACATGACAGAGGTCCAGGTAACACTGACCACTGGTGCGATTTAAAACTTGGATACACAAACAAAGATCATTTTCTTTTGCTAATATGTCATCCGCCCACTTGTCTGCAGGTTCCGTGGCCGCAGGGCACTGAGTGTGTCGCCAGGTACAACTTCAAAGGCACATCAGAGCAGGACCTTCCATTTAACAAAGGAGATGTGTTGACTATCATTATTGTCACAAAGGTAATGCTTTATATGCTATATTATGGTTTCCTATGACAATAGAGTATGGAATGACCAAATTACTATGTTACTTATTTATTTTTTGTTTTATTTCAGGATCCAAACTGGTACAAAGCTAAAAATACTGCTGGTCGTGAGGGAACAATTCCAGCCAACTATGTTCAGAAAAGGGAAGGTGTGAAATCTGGACCCAAGCTTAGTCTAATGCCGTGAGTACATGTGGTTAATGTAGTTCTTATAGCTAATGTAACGTTTTCTTTTCGGCACAAACAGGATTAGGTTAATGTATCTGCTGTGTAAATCTCTTGCCACCACACCAGCTTTGTTCGGCGCTTGCAGCGATGATTAAAATAGGCCGACTTCGCCCTCTTCCTATGGCTGTGTGGTCACTGAGGGCCGATGGCCTATTTGTCGTGGCAGTGACGCTGTAGTTGTCTGAATGGAGACCACAGTTTGGTTGGACTGTGTTGTAATTGCAGTGCACTTGTGTCTGCTTCCACCTCAGCTTTGCATGAACTTTGCACAGTTTCCTGTTGTTTCTTTTCTATTTCAGACTGAAGTAATCTAAAAAATCTCACCGTTTGTCCACATGATGGGTTTCCGAGTGCACGCATGAGTATGTTTATGAATGACAGGTTTATTTTTAGCGCACAGGATCACAAAATTTAGTTCTGAATGATCTCATGGAGGGAAAAAAAATACCTATACGAACAACCGGTGACAAAAGCACACAGCGAGAGGTTATATAACAAAAGCTGAATGACATGACACTAGGTTCCTACAGGATATGACAAAACATATCCTGTAGGAACTTAGTGCAGCTCTACATGAGCTATAGATACAGAATAATGTGGCTTAGTACCTTTCTCTTGTACAATGACATCTTTTTGTTTCAGTTCCAGTGGAAGAACAATGTTAAAAGAACAGACACGAGTTGAAGAATGCCAACTGATTTTATCACATAACGTGCGGTTCTCAGTACAGTGAACTTCACCAGTAAAGAATGTGAGACAAATGTTAAAGGGGATCTCTGGGCTCCAGAGATCAGGTAGCTTTATGTCTGCAAAATGACATCCCATAATAGAGAACGGAATAGAAAACCTCTTCAACAGTACTCCCCCCACATCTCATACAGAAGCTGTTACTGTTTCTTATTGCAGCTTTCCAACAAGGTTTTTCTGTTTGAAATTTAAATGTCATATTTTATGGAGCCAAATGCAAATACATTTACAGCACATTCTACATTTAAATATGTGACGACCTCAATCATAAAACTGGTCACGGTGGAGATGCAAATCAATGTAATACATATATGCTGAGAACAGTATTTGTTTGATTTGCATTAAAGGACCATTCAAAGGAAAGATAACACACAGCGTTGATTAAAGAAGTAGCAATGAAAAGACTTATAGAAACTAATCGGCAACACGAGTCCAAATTATGGCAATAACCTTTTATGAACCATTAGAAACTCCCATTTAACTGCTCCTGTCTTTACACACTGATGCCCATCTGATTTGTAGCCCTTCAAACGGGTGTAGCCGTTTCTTCCAAAGCTGATGGGGGATAGTCTTTGGAAAAAATATTGGCATTTGAGTTTACATACACTGTATAAAAAAGCAGATAGATTTTATTTCTTTAACAACTTCCTCAAAAGCAAAAAGTTAAAAACACCAAAAATAAAAAAACCTCAAAACAATTGGGAAAACCCAAAAGAAGAAGACAAGGCCTTGGAAACCTTTGAAAAGGTAAATGAAAAAAATTGAAGTAAATGGAAGCAAAACCGGGGAAGGAATTTAAACCAAAACCCAAAAAAAACGCCTCCCTTTGGGAAAAAAAGGGAAAATAAAAAAAAAAAAAAACCAAGACAACAGAAAAAGAACAGAAGACCGCAACAACACAAGTCCAGCCCAGCCTACAATACAAAGACCACAGAACGTAACACGCCAAGCTGATCAAACAAAAAAACTAGCCGAAGCAAGCAAGACAGAGACAGTAACCACACACAAACAAACCAGGAAGCAACAGACACGGAAAGAAAACCCACAGAGAAAGAAAAAAGAAATCAAAAAAAAACAAAAAAAAAAAAACCAGAAATAAAAGTTAAAAAAGCAAAAAAGGAAAAAAAACCTTAATTTTGGAAAAAAGGCCCGGGAACCGAAGAAAACAAAAATGAAACGGTTGGCCAAAAAGAACAACCGTAAAATTGGAAGAAAAAAGAGGGAAACTTGCAAGCCTGAGAACACCATCCCAACTGTGAAGTACGGGGGTGGCAGCATCATGTTGTGGAGGTGTTTTGCTGCAGGAGGGACTGATGCACTTCACAAAATAGATGGCATCATGAGGAAAGAACATTGTGTGGAAATATTGAAGCAACATGGAAGCCAGGAAGTTAAAGCTTGGGGGCAAATGGGTCTTCCAAATGGACAATGACCCTAAGCAAGGCGGCTTACAAAGCTGACTCAGTTACACCAGTTCTGTCAGGAGGAATGGGCCAGAGTTCTATCAAACTATTGTGAGAAGCTTGTGGAAGGAAACCCGAAACATTTAACCCAAGTCACACACTTTAAAGGCAACGCTACCAAATGCTAAGGAAATGTATGTAAACTTCTGACTTTGAAGAAAATAGTAGAAAATCTTCTCTCTCATTTTTTTTTTTGACATTTAGCAAACTGACCTAAAACAGGAAACGTTTAGTCTGATTTAATGTCATATAGTGAGAAAAAAAAAGGTTGTATGTCTTTTTATACAGTGTATGTCAGCTTCTAGTTTCAACTGTAAATATGCTAAGTTATGCTGTTCTGCTTTTTTGTGTCCTGATGCCTCGCCGGCTTTTCTGCTTGCAGATGGTTTCATGGGAAGATAACTCGGGATCAGGCAGAGCGGCTGCTGAACCCCCCTGAGACAGGCCTGTTCTTGGTGCGAGAAAGCACCAACTTCCCCGGTGACTACACGCTGTGTGTGAGCTGCGACGGTAAGGTGGAGCACTACCGCATCATCTACCACAACGGCAAGCTCACCATCGATGAGGAGGGCTATTTTGAAAACCTCATGCAGCTGGTTGAGGTAAGACACAAACAGAAGCTTCTAATATTTGCTGTGTTGAGCATCAGTCTACTGTGTGTGCTGACTTTTAGAGTCCCAGTGTAACTGTGCCGCTGCAGAGACGACGTGCAGTTCCTGGAACATGTAATGAACAGGAAGTGTCAAAGAGGAAGCAAACAGTACGCTGAGGTTCAGAGTTCTAACCTCAAAAAGACACTCGGCCTCTACTCTGAAAGTGGCTCCTTTTCCTGTGAGAAATCCTTTTTTTGAGCTGCAGCTTACTGTATATTGTTCAGATTAAGGTCGATGTGTCTGGATAAGTTCAGTTCAAGTTTTTCAGTCATCCATTACACAAGTTTTCCCATTTGACCAGACAGCCCTCTACTGGCCACCATGGTGCACTGCTCTCTGAGTTTTATTAAATGCTGGTGTGTTTTTTTTGACATATTGAAGCTTTTTTTCATGTCTTCTCATAGTGCTTTGCTATTGTTTGGTTTTGTTTTATTGTCATTATTTTTCTATGTATTGTATTTGCTTACAACCTGAGTACTAATTCCATGCCATCTTATGTTGATACACGTGCTGCTGGTATGACAATCAAGAATCTTTGAATCCTTTAAAAGTGTTACAGTTGTGCACTTTGGCTTTCTATAAAACAAAGCCGTAACACCAGACTAACAGACTTGGTGTTCAAGTTGACAGAATCAAGAGAGACAAATAATTAAACCCACAGCCATTAGACACTTTACCAAGAGTAGAAGTTATGTAGCAGCGTCTTTCTGAAAAGCAATTAAGAGATTTCACCAAAATCTTTCAGTTTGTCCCCCCAAGCCCCAGATTCTCTTCCTGTAAAGACAATTATATATTAATGTTCTGGATGTGGTTCTGGTGTTTTCTGGTGCCGTAGTAACATTTGTTTTAACGAACAATGAACAACCTTTGGGACACCATCAAAAGCTGCTATTTCCACTGTATTTTCATGTGTTTTGCAGGGCTGGACAAATAATCGATTGTCATAAGAGCAATTTGAAACAATGCAATTAGCAAATTGCAAAAGCTGCAATTCAGGATATACAGTCATCCTCAAATTTATTCATACCCTCCCATTACAGATGGAAAAAACAGCTGTCACTGAAATAAATTGAAATTGACAAAAGTAATAATAAATAAAAAAAAGTTATGAAAATCATAACATTGCTTTTGAATTGTGGTTCAACAGAAATATATATATATATATAAAATGAAAACAACAAGCAAACAAGCATGATAGGACCCATAAGCTTGTATTTTGTTGAACAACCCTTTGAGCCAATCACTGCCATCAAGTGTTTTCTGTAACTCTCAATCAGACTTCTGCACCTGTTGACAGGTGTTTTGATTTTGGCCCACTGCTCATCAGCAAAGTGTCTAATTTGTCTGGGACAGTTTTGTTTGTTGCTTTTTTAAATATTTTTTTTCAAACACAATTCAAAAGCAATGTCTTACTTCACTAAATTATAATTTAGCAAATTTTTTATTTATTATTACTTTTTTCAGTTTCTAGTTATTTGAATGACTATTGTGAATTTTGCCTCGAAGGGTATGAATACATTTGAGGATGAATATAAGCATCTGAGGCAGGGTTTCCTTTTTATCTATTATTACCTTGACTATAGAACATGTAATGCTTAGATGTGGTTAGTGAGCCATGAATGTTAAGTTGTTTCATTTTATTTTTATTTTTAATTTTACTACTTTATCTTAACACAGTTACAGTGTTTGTCGTAACTGTTCTATCTATGTTGTCATATGTTGTAAAGATCCATCATGTTTTTAAAATGCATTACCTTATAAGTATTGAACATGGGTTTTAAAAAAGTATATTTAAAGCATATTGAAAAATGTATCAAAAATATCTGTTAGAAAAATTGCAATTAGATATTTTCCCCAGCCCTACCATCTTGTGTCTTTCATTGTTTTTAGCACTACACCAAAGACTCTGATGGTTTATGTACCAAGCTGATCAAGCCAAAGCTGGAGGAGGGGACGGTGGCCGCTCAGGATGAGTTCTCCAGAGGTAAGCCTCAATTTGTCAGTTCTTTCTGTTTTTATGCAGCTGTAACTTGTGACCTTTTTTTGTTTAGCAGAAGCATGAATGTGCCTCAGCTGCATGTTGTCTTCCCTTTAAATGATCCACAGGTGGCTGGTCGATGAACAGAAAGGACCTCAAGCTGCAGCAAGTTATTGGAAAAGGAGAATTTGGAGGCAAGTGGCTTTGGGTTTACTGTTTCTAAGTTTATACTACATTGTGAATCGTTTTTGTGCCATAATGTTAATTAATGTTTAACTGTTTTTAATGTTTAACTGTTTTACATTTTTATTTTTCACCTGCCTTCTCTACCTTGCTTTTTTATCTGTTTTGTATTCAACTTGTTTTGTTCTTGTTTTTATCTTATCCCCTGTTAAGCGACTTTGAGTATCGTGAAAAGCACTATACAAAATAAATGTATTATTAATATTATTATTATTATAAATCTGGCTGAGGCTTAAAAAATACGCGGAAAGAAATGGCAGAAGTTACGTGGCATCCACTGTACATGAAACATTGTGGTGTACAGATCTTCGTCTGAAGGACCTTGTTTATTAAAATTTTCCAATCTTTAGAGGTACAGGGACACTTTAAATATAGTAAAACGCTTGGCTTAAGAACATTTGTCATCCTATTTAGCTGAAATACAGATATTTTCATTTTTGTGTCAGCACATAATAATAACTGTTGACTTTTAACTGGTCCTGCCGTTATGTGTTTGTGTATTTCTGTACTTTTTCAGCTCATGATCATGTAAGTACTGCTTCACTGACAGCTCCTGATCAGTTCATTGTTTATGATCATTCCAGATGTCATGGTGGGAGACTACAGAGGAACCAAAGTAGCTGTGAAGTGCATAAAAAACGATGCCACAGCACAGGCCTTTATTGCGGAGGCTTCTGTCATGACGTAAGGAAAATAAATATTTTCTTATTGTGTTTTAGAATCACAAGTAAATCCAAAGTAACATGTCTTCATCCTTCTTCAGGCAACTACGACATGATAACCTGGTACAGCTGCTTGGAGTGATCGTGGAGGAGAACGGGAGTCTATATATAGTTACTGAGTATATGGCCAAGGTAGGTAGCTGACTGTCTGATCGTTTTAAAACATCCAGAATATGGTTGTGAAATATATATAACGTGTTTGTTTGTTGTTATTAGGGCTGCCTGGTCGACTACTTACGTTCCAGAGGCCGGACAGTACTTGGTGGAGATGCTCTCCTAAATTTTGCATTGTGGGTATCACTGCAGTGGCCTGATATATATCATGTTATACTCTATAGTGGAACAATAAATGATGAGCAGGCCCCTTATTTATTTGTGTTTTGTTCTGTATCAGTATGTTCAATAACACAGGAGTGACGGGATTTTATGTATTTAGATCTAAACATCTTTATTAATTATGCTAAAAATGACCGTTTAGCCTCCATATTCAAACAAGACATGTTTGTCAAGAAGAGTAATAGAATATTATTTAGTTTTTATTATTATTCAGTGTTCCACCTGTTGATTGGTGGTGAATTTGCAGCTTGAAAAGCAGCATTACACCAATGAATAAGAAAAGTTAAAAAGAAAACCAGTTGGCAAATGCTTCAAGAGGCTGAAAGTGTATTCAGCCTGTTTGTAGGATGATCACATTTTAGATAAGAAGCATTGAACATAATGTTTTTTTGCAAGAAAACTTCACACTATACCCTTAAGAATGCCCATGTTTAGTAGCATTATCACCAGAGAATTTGTTCAGCACTCACCAGAGCTCTTCCACATTTCATCTCTTTAACAGAGACGTCTGTGAAGCCATGGCGTATCTGGAGACCAATAACTTTGTGCACCGAGACTTAGCAGCCCGAAATGTTCTTGTGTCAGAGGACAACATCGCCAAAGTCAGTGACTTTGGTTTGACCAAAGAGGCGTCTTCCACTCAAGATACAGCCAAGCTGCCTGTGAAGTGGACAGCACCAGAAGCCCTCAGAGAAAAGGTACACAGATGTGGGACTATTCTGAGCAGCATGCTTCGCCATGTTTATGTGAAAGAAGAGAAATTCGGACCTTTATTTTTTTCTCTTTTTCAATAGAACTTTTCCACCAAATCAGACGTATGGAGCTACGGTATTTTGCTTTGGGAAATTTACTCCTTTGGCCGAGTCCCTTACCCAAGAATTGTAAGTATTAATAGTTTTCAGGACAGAGGCATGTAGTAAATAATAAAATGAGGAATGAGGACTTTGAATGAAGAGAAAGCTTCATTACATAGTGACGCATTACCCTAGACTAGACTTGATGTTGGTAATAGGCAAATGGTCATGTGGCTTTTTGACTTTTGTAGAAGGTACAAATGTACAATATGTGTGTAGTCAAAGAGTTTTTTGGGGTTTTTTGTTTGTTTTTGGTAATGTACATACTGATGAATCAATTCCTGGTTACTGCAAGATTTTGGCAAGCGAAACTTAAAGTTGTTCACATACCCCATACAATATTCATGAATGCATTAAATGAATGTTTAACTAGTTATACAGTTTGCCTGAAAATTCACATTGTGTGGCACAGAATAGTTTGACATTACGTGATCAAAACCTATGTTTTCTGTCGTCACTCTGTGAAACACTTTGCTCTTTTCTGCAGCCACTGAAAGACGTAGTGCCTCGAGTAGAGAAGGGTTACAAAATGGACTGTCCCGATGGCTGCCCTGAAGTCGTGTATAACATCATGAAACAGTGCTGGAACCTGGATCCTGCTGCTCGACCGAGTTTTCAAATGCTGAAGGAGTGGCTACAGCACATCAGCCAAGGGATGGGAAAAAGACAATGAGACATCTGACAGAACAGACAACGACAGTGACTTCACTCTTCCTTCATTTTGACCACTGGGACCATAATCTGGGATGAAAAAACATATCTCAACATCTGTATTATTTGGCAAATTTTACAACAAATAGTGTTTTTATTAACTGTATCCGTCTTAACTCTTAAGAGGCATCAGGGTCGTCATGTCTTCCTGCACTCTGTTATTAAGAGTGAATGATTAACTGTCATATCAACAAGTCTTTCCTTCGACACAGTGCTGCCTCAGACCCGTAGTGCCTTGACATGTTTTCATATCCTTTATGTCCTTTACACTGATATCCTTTGTCATACTGAGAGCATCCTTTAGTTGTTGTAAACTTGTAAAAAGTACCATCGCTTGACTCAGCTGACTGAATCAACAGGATCCGTTTAGAGAGAAAAGATGCTTCCTAAGTAGGAAATGAATTTTGATACGTCATTACTTGCTGTTGTTATTGTTTTTTTTTTACGGTTTCCAGGTACACCTTTTTGCATGAATGTGGGATTATTTTGTTTGAAAGACTAAATTAAGATAACTGTAATTATGCAGCTTTATTTTTCATTGTTATATAATAATAAATGTGTAATTCCTACTTTCTGATCCCTCTGTAAGTAAAAAAAAGGAAGCAAAGTACTGTTCTAACAACACTGTTCAATTTGGTAGACAGAATTTTCTTGTCCATAATTTTCTAAACCAATATCAAGAAGTGTTTTCTAATGCAAATCTTCAGATCCAAGCAAACTATATGGATTTTGTCTGTAGGAGAAAATGAGAATGTTATTAAATGTATTGTGCTGCCATTTTTGACAATAAAAAATTTATTTTGAAAATGTTTTGTTAGAGGAACAATTTTGTAACATCCTTCTAAAAAATCTGAATTTTACAAGTTAACAAATTTGCCATTCATAAAAGACTTTCAGTTTTTTTCATAAGAAGCAATAAAGCAAACTTCACAAGTATTTGTAAAAGACCACTATAAATTAAAGCCGCAAGCGGCGATGGACGGGTCCTCACACCTACGCTTGTCGGCCGTCACGCACGGCGGGGTGTCGCGCAACCCTGCTCCGGGCGGGACTGTGATCCGGCATGTCGAGTTTGGGGCAGATCGGAGCAAGTGTGGCCTAATTATGAGCCACTTCCTGTTTAGTGGCGAGTCGTGGCGGCGTGCGTGTTGGCCGGGGTGGAAACACGCTCTGGCTGAGACTTCGAGCACGCGTGTAAAATTTCAGGCCAATTGGAGCACAGACAGCACGTCTCATATTCTGGTGTTTTATGGCGTTGTGGCCAAATTCAGGGGGGCGCCATTTCCACGCCGTCAC